TAGCACCCATGCCACCACTGAGCAGCATTAGACCGCTCAGCGGGGGCCGTGGGCCACACATATTTCATTTTACCGTACTCATAGAATCCGATTTGTAATTGCGCTGTATAATGCAGCACAACATCACCGCTTCGAGGAAATGGGCGTCCAAGGCGGGGGAAACAGCGAAAACAGTGAGTGGATGGGGTGAGGGAGGGCAGAGGAATTTGATGGAGTACCTCAAAGTTTGATGCAAAAGCGCATGATCGCACCGGTTCGCCTGGTGCGTTCCAGCCTGGGTTGGAAGAATGGGAGGAGGAGGAAAAGAGAAAAGGTGGATGAGAGATGTTTGCGTGCTGCAACCAGCCAACAGAAACAATTTCATATGTGATCAGAAATGTTTTTTAACGAATTTTGGTGTGCTTACTGTAATCGAAAAAATTGAACTTCCTGGATAAACACGTGCATCTCCAAACAAATAGGGGCGCACATCTGTAGGCAAGCACACACACATGAGCAAGCGTGAGCTTGCCGTAACGCATTTCTTAATACAGGCAAACTTTATAGAAGAATGAACTACTTACAAGCATAAAACAGTGCTTTCCCATAGGCATAGTACAACGATATTTTGTATATTGCAGAGAAGAAAACATTTGCAAAGAATGCCAAATGCATTTTGAAATCGTGGAGATTTGAGTGTGATATAGAGTGGCAAACCATTTGTAATTAGCCCAAATATCGAAACCTGCAGAATCGTTAATGACCATTTTGGGGTGCTAAACTGTAATTTTGACAAATAAAAAAAATCAGGTTTTGCTATGGCACCTGATGGAGAGTCTAAATGTGAAATAAGATAAACAAAATTATAAATACTACAAAATTTGAAAGGAACGAGCACCAAACGCATGCACACATATACAATCACTAACACACACACGCGCACGCAGGCGCATACATACACACAAATAAACACACGTGCGCACCTTTACACGCATAAACATACACAGACATAAACATTACATTATACATATATATGTGTGTGTAAACACACAAAACTTCAGGGTTGCTTCGATTTCCGCATCGAGGAAGCAGCGCAAAAAAAGCGTAAAACAGAAAAGCGAAAAAAAACCGCTCCAGGGAACTAAATTGCATCTTTTTAGCAATGGGTCAACTTATTCACCGTTTTCACGCCTGCCGGTTAATTAGCCCACCAGACTCAGCTCGAGGAAAAGTCGGAAGCACCAAAGCATTTGCCCGGGCGATATCCTCGCCACTTGATGGTTAAGCTGTTGATTAAACACTTTTCAAATCAAAGGAATTAATAAAAATAGTTAAAACAAAGTATAAAGTACCAACCACAGCAATACATATTGTTGAAAGGATATCCTCGCTCCTATCACTTTCGCGTAGTTTTGGCATCTATTTGATCATTTCTAAAACTAGAATCACCCTGGCATGAATAATGTTTTCTTGTGGTTCATTTGTAGAAGTCGTCAAACACCATCGGACGGATCCTGAAGAAGTAAGCGAGCACGCACGTTAAAGATCACAAGAAAAACAGAATGATGGGAACCTGGAGAAAGTTTGGCAAGACTGTGCTTAGCGCGCAACTCTGATTACTTCGCCCCGGCGCAACAAACAATTCTTACGGTGTGAAGCTCGGAAAATCTGTTAGCTTGTGAAAAGAAACGAGTTGTTTTGTACATGATAAGACCTATTCGTTGATTCGGTAATTGTGACAGCTGTACTTCAATTCATTAAGCTTTTTTTACCACAAGGAAAACTTTGGCGCTGAGAAATTCAAAAAAAAAAGCATTAATTAATTCTCTTTCATCACTTTCTAGTAATGATCATTAACACACGAAATGTTTTTAAGTAAGTGCGTTAAAAGTACTATACGGAGTATTGACAAATAAGCAGGCATAAAATCTCCACATTTGCGATTTCAAAATCAACGAATACTGCCGGAAGCTGGTATTCATCAGTTGTTTTTTTTAACAACTGATTATTGTGGGGATTCTTCACCAATGTCTTGCTGATTCTCCACTCCTGCTGAAGCTATATGTTCACTTCAAGTAAAGATGCGGTCAGTGTTATAAACAACCAAAAATGTGAGGCAGGACAGGCTTCGCTTCTATCCGACAAGATTAGTAAAATGACTGTTTTTTACAATCTCCGAATAGATGATGCGACCACTCACGTTTTTCCTGTGTTTGCGTTTCAAACACACTACGAGTTGAGAAGCAGCAGTATATTCGAAACAACAGCTTTTTCTTCGCCCTCGCTCTCTCGGAAATGTATATCCTATGTTAGGTTATGGCAGCAAAAAATGCAGGTCATAAAAATCCGAAGCTGCACTTCTATCGCTATATCATAAACCCTCGTTAGAATTCAAAATGGCGACAGTTTTAATAGGCACTGCGCGTCGTAACGAAGCCAATGAATAATTTAATCATTGGTGACGCGCACTGGGGGGCGACGTGCGATCATGCGTTTTCGCAGTGTTTCTGCTGCATTAAGATCAATCGAAATTCCACTAGCTAGACATACTGGTTCTCGAGTTCCTGTACATACTGGTTCTCGAGTTTCGGGAAGTTAATTATCCACGCTATACTTGGACAGGGAACATACCCTCGAAATCCCAGGTTCCCAGCTTTCTCAGTTCCCAAGTTATTCAAGTTCCAGCCAGAAAATTTCACGGGGCCGTACCTGACAACCACCCATAACGGGGGGTTGAATTTGATAAATTTAAGTTGCAGATGAGTTGGGAACATTTCTTGAAAGTTTCAGCCTCCCAGCTTTCTTGATTCTCGAGCTAGCGGTTTTTGCGCCAGGAACCCTCACGGGGCCGTACGCGGGAACTACGAACCTCCTGGGGCTGAATTCGAAATCTTTGAGTTCTACTTGGACTGGGAACATAATCCCAAAATTTCAGCTTTCTAGCTTTTCTGGTTCTCCTGGCGATTTTCCCGCCAAAACTTTGAGACGCTCGTACGCAGGGCCTAGACGTGCTTGAGGGTTGGTACCGCGGCCCTGGGGTGGTACTTGGTCGGGGAACCCATTCGCTAAATTTTGGCACCGGAGCTTGCTTGAGTGCCGAGTTGAAATACCCGGACAGACGCATACACACATACACATACACACACACCGGGGTCGACACAATATGGTTTTTTGCATATTATGCAAAAAGCATAAAAACCCAGGCTGGAACACACCAGGCTTGCCGGTGCAGTTGTGCGTTTTTGCACCAAACTCGCAGGTGGCTAATAGCAAAAATGATCCCTGCGCTGTAGCCTAACACTTGGGCTTATATTGGCCGCGGTCTGGCCTCTTCCGACTTGTAGGAAAAAGTGTGTTGGGTGGAACGAAAGCTCGTCATATTCAGATCAAACTCGTCACTTCGAAAAGGGAGGCGCTCATCAATTTAAGTTGTTGTCACTGCTGTCCTGTTCTACCCAAAGCCATGCTCATTATCTGCTACAATATTCTGAAACTTTTCAAATTTGCCTTTTTCACCCTCCTGCGCCACAACGATTCGCACATTCCGAACAATCTTTACTCGTTCAAAACGTATTAAAATGGCTTTCAAAGACATGAATCTAGGCTATGCTCGCATTAAAATCTTATAGGCAAAATGGAAGCTCTTTTAAAATCGAAAACGGTTACTTTAAAACCGGATCTGCCAATACTTCTTTTCACAGTCCGCGATTTCCACAGCTAAATTAGCTGAAACCGGGAATCCCTCCAACGCTAATTCCAAGGACGGTTGAAATAGTCTGTACCACGATACCTTGCCACTTCCAAATCGTGTAAAATCCGTCCAAAAACCGTGTAATTCTGACGGTGTTGCGATGGAACGATAACCTGTAAACCACTCAGTGCCTCAGAATCGCTAAAGTTTTGTACTGCTTTTAACTCCATCAGGATAGAGCCACAGACAGAGCCCAACTGTATCTGTGCTTCTCATTCTCAGTGTCCGCTTTTAGCTCTCACTAGGCGCAATCACTTCAAGAAATATCGAGGCTGTTATGTGTTCTGTAGGTGCCACTGGCTTAAATAAGATGCCCTCCAACTAAGCAGCAACCCAAACAGCTCTAACTCTAAAAGAAACTCACCATAATACATCTCAGATAACCACTGAGCGGCAGTTCTAAAAAATAGCAGAGTAAGAAATATGCATTTTCTGGGGGAGGGGGTTGGGGCGGGTTCAATTTTAATACAAAATGTGTAGGAAGACTTTGTTTTTTGATTCCGAGACACCAAAAGTAGGACTTTTTTCTCACTTTTATGCGTTTTTGCTGTGCAGCGCTATAGCGCTGCTACAGCCAGCAAAAACGCATATTGTC